TCTTATCGGCTTCCGTCGTAATCATGCGAGTGCCCGACATGTCGAACGTGATGCTGAACACGCCGGCCTCGCTGTCCATCGAGCCAGGCTGGACCGGGGCGTGGAGCCGTTGGAAGTTGTAGCCGGTGCGCCAGTCCCAGAGGTGCATCGTGCCGTTGTCAGCGCCGGAGACCAGAACCCCGTCGGTGTTCACCGCCAGGCAGTTGACTATCGCGTTGTGGCCCGACAGATTCTGAATGAACTTGCCCTCTGGGCACTTCCACTGCTTGATATTGTCCGGCGACGCCGAGGCGAACATGTACAGGGACGGATGGAACGTGAGCGCGCGCACGCTCTTCTTGTGATTCGTCAGCGTGGCCCGGGACTTGCCGGCGGCCAGGTCCCACAGGCGAATCGTGCAGTCGTGACTGCCGCTAATGATCTGCGGCTCGGCGGACTGGCATATCACGCTCGCCACTGTATTGGTATGCCCGACGAGTGTGTGGACATTCGCCTTGGTACGCATGTCCCACACTCGCCCGGTTGAGTCCCGTCCCGCCGTCACTAGCACATCTATCGTGGGATGTAGTGCCATCGAGTATACGGCCGACAGGTGACCATGGTAATGCCTGATTACCTTATTATACTCCAGGTCCCAACACTTGACCTGCCGGTCCTCGCCGCAGGAGAACAAATAAGGGTGCCTCTGCGAGAATGCGAGGCCGCGGACGCTGCTAATATGACCGGTCAGCGAGACCTTCAACTTGCCGGTCGCCAGATCCCATATCTGCAAATTTAGAAAACAGTTGAGCTTGCCGCAGAAAGACCACGTTGGGTGATTCACAAATTTTGTGAATTTCTTGAGCAGCATTACTTAAGTAAATTAAAACGTAAAAATTGGAACACTTACTTTGATTACTCTGTCGGCTGAGCCCGTGGCGAACCACTCGTTACCGGGCTCCACGGCGCAACATCTCACCCATCCCAGATGACCGCTGATAACTCGGTACAATTTCCATGGCGCGTGCCACTTGGGTTTCGCCATCGAGGGCGTTTTCTTTGGCGGCATTGCGAGCGTGCCGCTGCTTACGTTGCTCCCCACACCTATTATTGGCACCACGCTTGTGCTTCCTTTTGTTATATTGTAAGGGACAACTGCCGAGGTGGCATTAACTCCAAAGGTTTCATCTAAAAACATATTAAAATTGATAAAATATATTTGTAATAATAATTTTCAATTTTTAATTGTGTGTGTGTGTATGTGTGTGTGTGTGTCACAGGATATTACCTCCTGGCGGCGGAGGGTCTGCAATGTCGTTTTCTTGCTGCACTTTGGCCATGTTATTTTGTTTCACACGTTCCAATATTGGGCCGTAACAATCTTTCGCTTTTACAACCTTCTTCATTTGCTGCCTGAAGATAAATAAATACTATAAATAAATAAGTGATCCTCTCTCCCTCTCTCCGGGAAATTAAAACGTAAGGTTCGATCGAGAAGTAATTCAGAATACACTGCAACAAATTGCGATTGCGACGGCAAGATACTTACCGAACAGGATCTTCCGGCGGTAAGGATCCTTGATTTAATAAAAACATATCGTGAGTCCTCTTTAAGGATCGAAACACCAGCGTGTGCACAGAATGCCGTTGGACATCCTAGAACAGGTTGAGGTTATTTACGAAATTTGCAGCAAAGTCCGCAATATGCACGTGTCTATGCAGACATATTTTTAATTGAAAAGAATGTAATACAGTTAATTAAAAAAATATTCTTACCATGTCTTTTAATTCTGTAAGATATTCACGATCTTAATATTTCGACGTTGCAAGACCAGAGAGAAGCTTCTGGAAGCTTCTCTCTGGCAAGACACTCGTTTCGAATCTGTGTATTTGAGGTTAGAAGACTCTGTCCTAGACGTCCACCTCAGTCCGTGGCTCACACAGGCTCACACTGGAATCGAGATCGTTCTGCCTTCTTCTTTTTTTAATGTAGGCTTCCGTTTCCACTAGAAACGATACAGCCTGTACTTAAGAATTGTGCGACAATAGATGATGCAATATTTGATGCGACACAAGATAAGGCAACACTAATTGTAAGCAGAGTACTGAGCCCAAGAGCGGACATGCCGGCCTTTCGAGTTTTGGCCAGTTTTGGCTGTAACGTTAAAATCGTGCACTAATGCCCTCTGAAGAAGTGGATCCAAATTACATAGTAAAATCAAGATTTCTGCACAATTTGTGGTGCGTGTCCGTACTAAATCCACTTTTCGAGTCTGCTGGAGCTTTATTCTCGAAAAATTACACATTAGAAAGTAAGGAAATATACTTTTTAGTGCGTAATTTTTCGAGAATAAAGTTCTCTTTAGTACAAGTGAAAAATTTTACTTATTCAATTATTAAAATAATTGAACAAAAGACATTAATCGAAAACATGCGGAAACGTCGAATTAGTGGAGTGACGATCTCCGAACTACCAAAATGTACAGCAAAACAATCTATTTGATAACATGCAAAAAAAAAGTAGGAGTTGTGGTGATAATACTAATTAATTGTGAATACTTATTTCCCATGGTCTTTGTCAAAATTTTTAATAGTATCCTTCAATAACTTCAATACTTGGATAATCAGTCTGATCTTTTAAATGTCTTTTTAAATCTTTTAAACATTTAAAAAAAACATTTGAAAGACTGGACTTAATTGATTATCCAAGTGTGGAAGTTATTGAAGAATACTATTACAAATTTTGACAAAGACCATGGGAAGTAAGTATTCACAAGTATTACCACCACAACTCCTACTTTTTTTTTTTTTTTGGGGTGGATTTGAAACCTGGATTCTCGGCACAGTAAGCTGCCACACAGCTCGTCGCGCCACGATCGCTCGTCGAAAAAAATAGAACTTATAATCATTATAATTAACTTAGTCAGCGATTAATTCAACCAGCAAAATCGCCTAAAGCATCGTCAATTTCCGACTATTTAATTATATAATTTTTCGTTTTTGTTTTAATCTGTTCTAAAATCAGATTTTTTTTTTTCATATTTAAAAATTAATATTATTTTAATAACAAAAAATTAATGATTTTATTTAACGAAGTTACGTATTATTTACTGATTAATTAAGTTATTTATTAGAATTTGATTCGAAGTGACGTTCCACGATATTGCTCTGATCATTGATGATCGCGTTCAGATATACATAACATAATAATACATTTATCATCTAATATAAGATATAGATGACATTTGACTCTGGCTGGTTCCCCTGCCGTTGTTACGAATTGCGACACGTTTTCCAACGCGTGTCATACGCATGCCGCGTGCGGCGTGTTATGGTATTTATGCTATTCACCAGTGCCTGCTGGGGGGAGGTGGACGTGTGTATGTACGTTATACGTATATTGTATCATCCGATATAATACATGCTCTTTGGTGGGCACGTCCTCTTTGCCTTCAACCGAGCGTGAGAGTTCCCTCGGCGAGAGATAAGTACCTGCGGACCGGCTTCGTTCGGGAAGACAAACACCTGTTGCAACATCACCAGTCCTGTCCGGATCTAACCCCCAAAAATGCCGGCGAACAAATTGGGTGAGTTATTTCATAAAATTCGGAAGGAACAGAAGGATGATCTGCTTAACCTTTAATAATTGATAGCGCCTACCTAGACCGCGTGGATCACGTTCGCCGGATCTGGCCGGATCTATGTTAATTACATTTCTTTTCCTCTTGTTAACGAGACGTTAGCACCCGATTTTTTTCCTCGTTTCTCTTTTATCTGGACGCGAATTACTCGCGTTTTACTCGCAATTGTTTGGCAATTGCATAATTGGCCAATTGAAATTAGAGCACGTGTTATTATTCTATCTGGCGTTCGTTCTCGCGCCGATTAGTGATAATTTAAACTTTGATTAATGTGAGATTGTGTATCAGATGAATATATGTTTCTTGCATGTTGGACAAAATATATTTTTTTATTTTAGAGATTAAAGGAATGTAAATTTAATTGATCATAAAAAATTGACGCAATTGAATATATATCTATAATGGAACCCAGCAAACCACAGTATATAACTTAGATGTATATATTATATTACACAAGTGTCATAAATATTAAATGTAATATTATTTGTACAGTACATGTAACATACTGGTACGGCTCTGTGTCAGCAACTTTGAATGTATCACTTATGTATCAGATATATATAATTGCAACGTAACATATACGTATTTTTTACATATTTTTATATATTATCCTGTTAAAAAATTAATTTTTTTTTATTTTATTTTTAACATAATTTTAGAGTTTACTTTGCGTTTACTATTCCG